TTTTAACTAGTTATATTATTATTTAGTTATAATATAACAACTAATAGTTTATAGTTATATTAATTTAAAAATAATTAATTTAAAATTATTAATTAACAAATATATAATATATAAATTTAATATATAATATATAAATTAAATTATTAAATAGTTTTATAGTTTATATATAATTATAACAGTTATATAAATAATAGTTTATTTATATAAATAATTACAACATCAAATCTTTTTATTTATATATTATTGCAGCAATATTATAAACTTTTATTTATATATAATTGCTATATAATAAATATAATAGTTTAGCTAACTATATAAATAAAAACATTATTTATTACAAAAATATATAAAATAAAACAAATATAATGATTTATTAAATAGAAAAGTTTCTAGCTTAGCTAGAACTTTTAGCTATATAAGTTGATAAACTAGCTATATAAGTCAGGTAAGAGGTAAGGTAAATGAGATAAATGGATAAATAAGAGACCCTTATATACAACTGTAATATATGCCATATAACAAATAAAGCATTGATATTTTTATCAATTTATTTGGCTATTTTTTTTTTTGACTCCAACGTTTTAACAGCAGCGTTTCAACAACAGCGTTTCGATATTATAAACTGTTTTAATCGATCTTAACTGGACTAAAATCGTTCAAATTGTCGGCGTATAGGTCAGCAAACAGGTTTATATAGCAGTTAGAAAGGTAACTAAATAGGTTAGATGGTTTAAAAAGATCTAAAGAGGTAGGAGAGGGTATAGGTTGGTCTATAAACAGGTCTGCAAATAGGTCTAATTAGCTAGCTAGGTCTACAAACTGGTCTATAAAGCTAAGAAAGTTTAAAGAGGTAAAAGGGGGTATAAGTTAGTCTACAGGGCTAAGAAAGTCTGCAAGTAAGTTTAGTCGGCTAGCCAGGTCTATAGACTGGTCTGTACGGCTAGAAAGGCCTAGTGGTAGGTGTAGTAGACTAGGAAAAGTAGGTAGGATAAGTAGGTCGATCGATTTTTTCTTGCCGCGGAAGCCTCGGCAGCCACATTGCCGCTTTGCTGGCCGGACTATAGTATCAACTAGCCGGACTGCATTATTTACTAGCTGGACTTTGTCGAAAATAGAATGACCTCGTTCTACGCCAGAATCGGACGGCCGGACGGGCGGTCGATTGCGCCAGTTTTTCTTTTTTTTTTTTTTTTTTTTTTTTTTTTTAGGGCAAATATGATGATTTATTAAGTAGGAAGGTTCCTAGCTCGGCCAGGACCCTTGGCTATATAGGTTGGTAAGCTAGCTATGTGGGTCAGGTGGGGGGTAAAGTAGGTGGGGTAAGTGGGTAAGTGAGAAACCCCCATACGCAACTGTAACAGCCTTATATACACACTTAATTAATACAACAACAATATTAAAGCTTTACACTTATTATTAAAGTGTTCCATTTACTATTGAAAAAATCACTTGTAAATATAACAAATTTAACAATTAAAAGTTTTATTAATTTTTATATTTTACTACAAATTTTATGAGCTTGTTATATATATTTTTAAAGATTTTTATACTTTAATTACTTATAATTTATTACTTTTATTTGCAAGCTTTAAACTGCAAGCTATTAAGATTGTTTATATTTATAAACTTTATACTTTTGAGCTTATGTTTTTAAACTTACGCTTTCGATCTTTTAATTACAAACTACTGTTTTGATCTTTTAATTATAAACTACTAAGCTTGTTACAATAACAACTTTTACTATTACTTTTAATTTTTTTAACGACTTTTTTATATAAAAAAAAAACTTTATAGTAGCAATTTATAACTGCAATTTATAAGTTTATATAAATTTTAATAATAACGAACGATTTTTTTAGCTTATTAAGTTTAGCTTTTTTTAAATAGTCGATTTTTAAATGGGCTTAAATATTTTTAAAAACTTCTTTATAGCTACGATTTTTAATTTTATTACTGCTAGTAAAAACTTATATTTTTAAGCTATTTAAAGTTATAATTAAGCTTTTAAACAATATAATAAACATTTTATTAAAACTAAAAAGCTTTTTAAATAAATATATAAATCGGTTAAATTTAACTATTAATTAACTTATATAAAAACTAGCAATATAATCAATTAATAATATTTAAATTTAAAAAAGCTTAGTATTACTTTATAATTAGCTTTTAAATTTAAATATATAATAAAATATAAAGCGTTTATTAATGCTATAAAAACTAAGTTTATTTTAAATTTTATTAAATGAATTAAAGATTAGTTATATAAGCTAAATTATATAACTAAAAAAAAAAAACGATAAAATTGTTCGAGTTAATTATTGACTTAAATCGAGCTTTTTAGCAAATATATTATTTCTTTTAAAATGTTACTTTTAAAAATAACAATAGTAAAATTATAATAAGCGGTTTATTAACTTATTAAACGATTGTTTTAAATTTAAAATTAAAAGCTGTTAATATAAATAGTATATAAGCTACTAATATAAATAACGTGTAAAAAAAAAGCTTTTTTACAAAACTTATAAAAAAGAATAATTTAGAACTTTTAAAAAGCTTTTACATTTAAAAAACTATATAAGCAAACAAACTTTTTACTAACTTAAAAAAAGCTTTTAGCAAAAATAAAAAAGTAAACTATATTAATAAATTTTTTAAATATTTTAAAGCTAATACAGCTTTAAACAATAAAAAAAAAAAGCGGTTTTAAGTAACAATTAACTTATTAGTAATAGATATATTCGCTAACTCTTTTTTTTATTTAAAAAAGTAACATTTTAACTATTTAAAAAAATAGCACTAAAGCAGTAACAAGTTTTTTTTTTATATTAACTAAATTTATAAACAGTTAAAACACTATAATAAAAATTGTAAAAAAAAAAAAACTTTTAAGCTAGTACTTAAACGCTTATATTTATAGTATTTTATTACTAATATAAAAATATAGCTAAAAGCTTTGCTAATAAAAAAAAAAAAGCTTTTATAACGTTTTACTTTTTTTATAATTTATTACTAGTATTAAATATAGTAAAAAGTTCTGCTTAAAAAACTATAGAAACATTTATAAAAAGTAAAAAAAAAAAGCTTTTTTAAAGCTTATTAAATATTACAATAAAAATTATAAAAAAAAAAAGCTTTTTTAAAGCTTATTTATATAACATTTTTTTTAAACGTATTAATTGCTACTTAAAAGTTTATTTAATTTGTAATTTAAAATAAAAATAACTTTGTAAAAATAAACAAGCTTTTTAAAAAAAATAAAACAATTGTTACAGCAATTTATAATTAACTAACTGCTTTAAAAATAAACAAGCTTTTTAAAAAAAAATAAAAAAATTATTTAAACAATTTATAATTTATAATTTAATAAACAGAGCTTTTTAAGCTTATGTAAGCAGTTTATAATTTTGTTACTTTTTTATGATTTTTTTAACTATTGTTTATATATTTTTATTTTAAGCTTTAAATTTAAATTATAGTGTAAAAAATGTTATTAAAAGTAGTTTTTTTTAAAAAAATATATTAAATTTAAGCTTTATGCTTTAAAATTACTATATATGTTTTAAAACTAATATAAAAGTTTAAAAATTACTTATAAAATGTTCGTTTATATATTCACCTAGTTATATAAATAATAGCTTAAAATAGCTAGTGTAATAGCTAAAATCGGCTATATAAGAAAAATCTGTTAACTAAATGCTTTATATACACACTTAACTAATACAACAACAATATTGAAGCTTTACACCTACTATTAAAGTGTTTCACCTACTATTGAAGAGATCACCTGCAAATGCGACAAATCTGACAAGTATAACTTGTAAAGCTGCGTTGTTTCTGTAAAAAGTTATAACTACTGCTGGCTTGGGCGTTGTTATAACAGGTGCTACAGCGCTAGAGAGGCGGCTTTCTTCCCGTAGTGTTTTAGAAAGTCTAGGAGCTTATTAAGCAATTTGGTGTAAATTGGGTGTGTGCACTAACAGTAGGTGCTAAGAAAAATAATTTAAAAGGGAAGGTGGGAAGGGGGAAGGGGGAAGTGGGAAGGAGTAAATAGAAGGTGCTACGTGTATATAAAGTGCTACCTACCTCGTAGGTATTAGTTCAAGCAGAACCACATGGATACACGCGCGTGAATATACATCGATTACTGTCGAAGGTAGCAAGATATATATTTCTAAAATGTGTAGTTAACTGGGAGTAGATTCGTCAAAGTTGATAATCAATACGCAGTATATATAAATGTAGGTAGTACTGTTTACTTGGCTCTAGGCTCATCGCACGTGCGGGAGCATTGATTTATATATATAAGGTAGAGATTAGCGGGATAGGCTTAACGTCTCTTTATAAAGATCGCCGAGATATTGTATTTATAATGCTACTAGATAGAATCCTGTCATCAGACCCTCACCTCTGATGCCTTAGACTATGATATTTAATTTTACATCCCGTGGCTTGATGATTTAGGGCTCATTATCTGATACTCGTTATTTCATTATTGCACCGTAGTGGGTGAATACCTACTCCAGGTTTTCTAATAATCACACCTAGCTACGGCCGGCTTTCGAAGCAACAAAGTTACCTTAGATATCTAGTTAGGCTAAGATATAGTGAAAAGCACCACACGGTAAACAACCAGCCTATATATTGGCTATTACAGATTTCGATCTAGTTACAGTAGGTCCTGCACATTACCTTTGAGATGTTGTAATGACTGCCGAATATTCAACTACTTATTACATATACCGAGCTTTTAATTTTGCGTTGCGAAGCACAAGCAACATACTCTCAAGGTTTTAGTATACAAGCCAATATATCACCATGAATATCTCTCTCCCAATACATTTAATCCCCCAGAGATTTATATCCTACGAACGCCTTAGTATAAGAACTCTGATGAGCTGATAATATTGATCTCGTTCTTCCCATATCCCTATTCTGCACATAGCTACGAAATTAAACAGCTCGACTTGCATCTGAAAATCCAGCGATTTCAGTAACGGGAGGTTTTCGTGGCCTAGTGGTTAGGGCGTCTGTCTTACAATATGAGAATTAGAAGAAATTCTGGTTCCTGTTGATCACAGAAGATCCCCGGTTCGACCCCGGGCGGAAACATTTTTGGACCATGAAATAGTAAATCCTTGATAATTATAATTACTAAGAAGTCCGTTTAGCTGCCGAGTCAAAGGTTTTACTAGCCACATCCTAGCATCCCATATGCAGGCCTAAACAACTTTGCCAGCTACGTCTGGCTCCCGTTGGCTAATTGTGTCTGATATAATACATCTTCTTCGACGTTCTCAATACTTTCAATCCGTCTGCCGCATTTACATTTTTATATTCATTGTCTCTTGATCCAAATATTCGTTATGTTATAATCATAATTCTTTTCTGTTTGGCGAAGACCGAGATTAGCAAATATAACCATAGAGCACACCCCATAGCTTGAAGAGGGGCGCTCTCTTCTAGAGTAACGGAAAGGATCAGTGCTTGCATAGTCATCAACATTAGTAATACAGGCTTCGTCATCATCCGACTTACTTACACAAGTTGAAAATCTAAGAGCTAAGAGCTGTGGATACTCCCCTTAGGGCACCATCTCTGTTGGAGCTTAATAAAGATAGATATTAAGCTAATGTACCACCTTTATTCATTATATCCGGTGAAAAATGTGAACGTTCAGTTAACGCAACGAAATAGAGGCAAATTTCCTACAGGTACAGGGCAGCAAAATTCACGATAGTACACCCGGTAGCATCTTACGGATGGAGAAGAATAAGAAAAATACGGCGTCTAAGGTATACATAAATATCTAGGTGTAATCTAAGAGTCACTAGGAGTCAAGGTTCAATGATTAGTCTTAAGCGAGTCTAACTAGGTAGTCATTATGGCGGGTTGATCATGTCCCATGTATTTCGTGCTATCATACCAAGTAGCTAACTCGTAAAGCGAGCGTCGTTCGGGTGTAAACCATCTCCAAAGCTCATAACTCATGAGACCGACATCAAATCATATCGCAAAGTAACGATCGTCGTAAACAAGGTCTGCAAACTGCCTGGTTGAAATGGTCACAATGACAAGCTAACGCTACACCACCTCTCGTGATAGATTTCATCAATACGACTCATATAGCGTGCTGGAAGTAGTCAGTCGGTAGTTGATCCAGTTCATCTCTAACGCAGAGCAGATAGGATCGTTTACAAACATCTATCTCATGGAGTTGGCGCGATGACGGCGGCCCAGCACGAGGCTTGACAAGTGCTGAATGCTGTATTGCAGGCAACAATAGTTGCTGGCGCCGAGGCACCCATCGTGGCGCCCCAAGTAAACCCTGCTGCTCCATAGCAGGCCATCACGACAGCTGAGCAGCCGCCTTGGCACAGGCCGTATGCGGCGGGTCCGGCGCTCCCAACGGGCACGAATGCCAGTATCGCAGTGATGAATGGTGTGATAGGCTTCATGGTAGGCTAGACGAAGCGGTAGACTTTGTGATGATATTTAGTTAAGCGAGATGGCGTTAGTTGTGAGGGTTCGTGTTGTAGGAAGATGGATAGGATGTAAGTAGGGTAGTAGGTAGTCACATCCGAGCCGAAAGCCGAAATCTGTCTATAGTCGTGCAGCATTCTATATAATAGAACCCGGTAGATGAGGCCTTGTATAATGGAAGTCTCCTACGTATTTCGAGTGTACCATGTAGGTGTACGCGTGATGGCTAGCTGTTTCCGTAAGGGGCGAGCTTCGAGAGGAACATACGGGAACCTACATGTATGCACTGATACTCGAGGCGCGTATCAGGCTAGTAGCTACAAACACACCTGCATATGTACCTACAGAAGTACAATGCAACAGCTTCCTTGTGCATACTGAGGTGGCGGTATAGCTATTTTGGCTTATATTAGGTATTAGTGCCTTATAACAGGGGAAAGGGGGAGCAAAAGCATCCGAGATCCGAAAGTGCTAATACTAATATAAACCAACACAGGATACACGGAGAAGAATCCAGAAAGAGCAATACATTACAAGAAAATAAGAATTAATCTCGCGCCCTTTCAACATTAATCCTTAGTGATACGTTGACCTATCGAAACCCCCGTGCTACCTAACGAGTTGTCACGGTCCTAACCATGAGCCTATAAGTAGCTGCAAACGGTCAAGGTTCCCAACCTTGACAGCGTTCTACTTTTGCAGGTAGTGTCGTGGTTTAGCGTTGCAGTTCTGTTACGTGACATGAGTGTGATAATTCTTGTTACATTTACGCCGATCAGCATCCCTTCTTCCACCGGGGAGGTCGGTGTCTAGGCTACCACCCTGGCGGCTGGGTTGGTGTTTCTGATAGACTCTTGACGTGGAATAATCCTGGTATATACTGCGTAGAGGAGGGGTAGGTAGCTTGTAGCATGCAGATAGGTAGAATGTGACGCAAGTCTTACCTCCATTGCCTCTTTCTATGCAAGCAGCCGGCGCACAGCCATGGCTTTGCAGGAGAAGTCAGATGATCCCCTGGCGATCGATCCTATGAGTGGTGTTCACTTATCAGTTGGGTGAGCAGTCATCTTTGAAGCGGCCACTGGCAGAATTCATGCCAAACGGCGGACCGGTGTTGCTGACCAGTTGCGTTCCCGCTATACCGGTAAGTGAGGGGGCATAGCCATTTTCGCGTAATGAAACTATTACCTTGGTTTCTTGAAGTAGAGCAACTAAGATAGGATGTTAGCATATTTAACCATTTCTTGTTTGTAGAGGGGCTTAAGAATCGATATACTCTCTAGAGACTATCAACTCCTATATAACACATAAACTTACTCCGTTTATGCGCTTTTGGGGAATTTTATTCATCTATTGGGCGACTGTGTCAAGTTGTTGGGGTCTGATATTGACGGGCCTCTTTCTCATTGAGCTTGACTAGCTAGGATAGAGCTCGCTGAGTATGACTGCACTTTATAAGCCATTGTCAACACATATATTTCAAGGAATCGTATTGGCGGTGGCTGTTTAGAAGGGCAAAGGTTGAAGCGATAGCGACGCAGTGAATAGTCTTGAGGCTGTGATAAGTACTTCTTAGATAGTACCCTCTTTCTAGTGAAGAGATATAACTAGAGTGAAGTGACAATATATCGCGACTGTAACTATAATTAGATCTGCACTACTCTATTCTCCGCCTCTTGGATGCGAAACGTCCTAGTCTTCTCGCCGTCTCCTCTTCTTTCGAGATATTTTTATCACTAAAGAGCGCTACAATACCACGATTCTCTCTTCCAACAGCTATATCAATCGGCGTCCGGAGCTGCGCATCCTCTAGTCGAGGATCTAAGCCTATCTCTTGCATGAGCTTCATGAACGTCTTCTCCCTGTCTCCTCGTTGGTTTCTCTCCCACGTGGACCCGGTGCACTCGATCTTCCTGGCCGCAATGACGTGGAGTAACCCGGAACCTTCATTGTCCCTCGTCTTCCAGTCGGCGTTCAAGCTATTGAACATATCCCAGATCTCACCGCTATCATGACCAACAAGATCTTCTGGACCACATTCGCTTTTTATGTATAGTTGGCCTTCCCATCGGACCTCGTCCTTCCATTTGTCTTGGCTTTTCCACCCTGTTGCCATGAAAATATGCAATGGCGTTTCCCCACGATGATTCCGGGCATTGATTTCAAGTCCCCGCTCTAGCAAGCCTTTGAAAAAAAGCGCCGCCTCCGCAGCTGCAGGCTTCCTCCCGATGATTAGGCGTGCGCAATGATGAAGAGCTGTATTGCCATTAGGATCTGGCTCGCTAGGATCCGCGCCTTTCTCGATCAAGTACTGCATCGCAACCATCTGATTAGACTGTAGGGCTAGATGTAGGGGCTTGTATCCTGCTCGATCTGCTATATGAATCAAGGAAGGTTTGACAGCAACGAGTTTAGCTAGAAGATCAGCGTGAACGACACCGAATGGTTCGTCTTCAAATGTGCAGAGCCAGTGAAGGGCACTTCTCCCCGTATCATCTAATGCGTCAACAACAGCCCCACGCTCCAGCAATGCCAAGGCAGTTTGAGGGTGAGGAGTGCAGTTCTGAGCTGGGGTTCTCCATCCGTGTAATGGAAGGGAAGGCACACAGGCTGAGATTAAAGCCGTCCGTCCATCTTTCCCCTTGCACTCGAGGTTAAGCTCCTCGACTTCCAGAAGAGGGCATGTAATACGGTGCTCCTCGATACACGCTTGAAGGACGTGACGTCCATCATCATATAGTTTGAAGGGGTCCGCGCCGTACTCTAACAGAGCCTCCATTATCGCATACTTTCGGGCAGTCAGATCGTCATTATCTGTCTCTTTTGGGGCGACACTATGGAGCGGATACTTTCCGTCCTTGGATCGCGAGTTGGCGTTCGCCCCAATCCTGAGCAAGTGCCTTACCATAGATGGGTCCATTCTCTCCGTTATCGCATGTTCCAATGCACGCGGACTCTGACATAAGTCTGCGCCATGCTCGAGGAGCAACTGGGTAATTCGAGCATCGTCCGACATCTCTAAGCAGGATCGCCTAGAGCCATCACGTCTTAATTCATTTTCGTTAGGGTCACATCCGTTCTCAAGGAGAATTCGAATTGTCGCTTCTTTCCAAAATCCTCGCGGGGGAGTTGAGCTGATTGTATATAACAAATATGTCTTCCCTGGTGCATTGAGAAGTGTCGCATCTGTGACAAGGGATAAAACATACCGGAGCGCTTCAATTTGCCAAAAATGATTTCCCAAGGCAAGAGAATGTATCGGCGTTGACATTCTGTTCACATCTAATCCGTTTGTCTCAATGAGCGTCTTGATCACGTGAAGGTTGGGTACTTCGCTAGTGCAAGCTGTAGCAAGCATGTTATATAGATTGACGTTTTTCTTCGTTTCATTCTGAGCCTCAGTGTGAAAAGAATTATTCTGAGAAAGGTGAGTCAATGAATCCGAAGCACTTCCTTGGGGTAGAGCTTGAAGACTCTGCGCTGCTTTCGGCTTCGCCATATCTCCCTCATCCGGCAACTCAATTCTCGTGTGGTGAGCTGTTGTCACACCGAGACGTAATAGCTCTCTCACCAGAATCGGTGAGTCATGAACTAACGCCAGGTCCATCGCCGTAACCGATGATCCATCC